CACCCCCTTTCCCTATCACACCCCTCTCAAACCACAGAGTCCTGTGCTCCACTTGACAGGGCAGTGTGATGCGCATTCCTGCCCAAAGTTCAATGCCCGGTTAGAGGGACGGGCCGAGATGGATCCCAGTGTTCATCCTACGTGAACCCCAAGTCATGCTTTGAGGTGCCCTGATCCAGAGGCCAAAGGGTTCTGTTAGTGGCAAATCAGGGACGTGTGGACCTGTCCTATACGAGGCCTGCAGGAACTCCAGAAATGTGTCTAGAATCTGAAACCTGAGTGGGAATGAATGACATTGCTGCTTTTTTCTTTATTTTGGTGAAAATAAGTTTGCTACCGTCATCATGCATGCGAAGAAACCTGAGGGAGTGATGCACTGAGAGGGATCTAGGGAAATGAACACAGACATAAACTGATCTGAGAAAGGATTAACTGTTCAATGAGTCCTGTATGTGTGGATTACCACTGCTTTACTAATGAGCTCAGCATCCCTGCAGACAAGCGGTGAGGGTGTAAGCGTTATAATAGGAAGAGGCAAGTGGGCCTCCTGTTAGCTGTGGAAGGAGCACATGTGAGACAGCAGAGGAGCCAGATGCATAGGCATGGGACAGCTCTTCTTGTCCACAGAGATGATGGTGAGGCCTGAAGACAGGGAATCTGCCGGAGCAATGGCCAAAAGACCCGCACCCAACATGAGCTAAGAGACCCCGTTCACAGGTCAGGAAGGGCCATGGTCTGTAGGATGCTTACTCACTGAGCACAGGGAATCCCCTCCATCAAGAATAAAAGCAGTCTGTAATCTCAGCACTCAAGAGGCTGAGGCAGGAGGATTGCTGAAAGTTCTAGGCCAGTCTGGGCTACACAGCAAGTTCAAGACCAGTCTGAGCTACATAGCAAGTTCAAGACCAGCCTGAGCTACATAGCCCATCTCAAAAAAAAAAGAGTATCAGCACAAGAAACACTTCTTGAGACTTTCTGTGGACCAATTAGCATTATTTCTTTTAATCCTCCCAACACCCTCAAACAGGAAATCTTATTATCTCAATTTTATAGATGAGGAAACTAAAGCTTAAAGAGTGCTTCCCCACTCACTTACAGTCAGGTGTCACCCATGAAGTACCAAAAATGCTCTAAAATTCTTAGCTAGAACCTGAAGAGCTCTCTCTCTACAAGTCCGAGAGAACTGTGTAGATGAGAGCATAGTAAAAACAGGACTTAGGGCAGTTTCTCATGTAGAAGTGACCGCAGAGAACCAATCCACGCAGGACTGTAGATTCAGATCACACCTCATCAACAGCCACACACTCTGAACTCGAGCCGTCCCATCCTCCACCTCCCCAATTTCTGCCACTCTCAGCTTAAAGCCTGGACATGAGGCTTCAGCAGGAACAGAAGAATCCGACCTCTGAGCGGGTCGGTGCAGTTCCACAGCTATGGTCTTAATGTCTCTCTCTGAATAGGTCTAGGGGTGACTTTACAAATGTGATCGCACCAATCTCTCGCCTCCCACATCAAAACTGGCTCAAATGCTCTTAACCTACACAGCCTCCTACCCACACCACACACCTGGGCTGTGACTCATTGTCACTGCTGTTCCTTCTCTGAATTACCTGACACTGTTTCATTTACTTCTTTAGGTAAACAACCTTCTTTCTCTCTTCCTGTTTTTAGGGTGACCCTCTGTCCTGGTTTTCCCGGACAGTCCTTGATTTTGGTTTCTTGTGTGTGTATGTGCGTGTGTGTGTGTGTGTGTGTGTGTGTGTGTCTTTTTGAGGCAGGGTCTCGCTATGCAGTTCAGGCTGGCCTCAAACTCACTTTGTAGCCCAGGCTGGTCTCAAATTTGCAATGATCCTCCTGCCTCAGCCTTCCGAGTGCTGGGATTACAGGGGTGCGCCACCGTGCCCGGCTTTACAGTCCTAGTTTGTGCCTATTTTCCTACAGTAATCAACAGGGAGCCATTTTACTACCGGAAATGATCTGGACTGGTTGAGAAATGACAGTCAACATGCTAAGGCTACTGTCCAGTTTTCCATGTTTCCTCCCATCTGGTTCCCAGAAACCCTTCTCTAATCTCTCTGAGGGGCCAGCAGAACCTTTCAAACCCTGTTCTCATTGCTGCCTTCCCCATGGAGTTGCCCCTCGTGTGATCCTCCCCACTCACCAGATCAAGGAACTCTTCTTGCTGTGATGCCCGAGGGCAGGTGGTAAAGCATTCAAGGGGCAAGATGACAATTGGGGGACAGAGAAAAGAATCATTTCATGGCATGGAGGTTGAAAGAGATAAAAAGCAGCCTCATTTCACAAGCAGCCAGCCAGTTTCGAGCCATTCCTGCTGGGGCAGCAGTAGGAACACAGGCTTAACAAACAGGAAGTGGTCCTGGCGAAAGCAAAGCAGCTGGGGTTAAGAACCATCATGGTGGCCCCCGGCTCCCTGCATAGCCCCCCCTCTGGCTCTTTAGCCACCCGCTCTCCCCACCCAGCTCCCTCTCCAGGCCCTCACATCAATAAGCTGCTGCTCTGCCTCCATCATCTTATGCACCTGGAGTAACGTCCAGCCATGTCACCTTTCAGGCCACTCGTCACATTCACCACAATATAATCCACGCCATCACTCGGCCTGGGTGCAGGCTGGAGGCAGACTGAGCCCCAGACACTGCGGCCAGTTCTGACTGGAGGATAATACACACTGCTCATCAGAGAAGCCAGAAGAGATCTGGGGGATAAGGAAAATGAATAGCAAGTCACAGAAATGCAGAGGGTGGAAATGAAGTGCTTGGGAAGGAGCGCTCTTAGGGATTAGAGGGCCCTGTGCTTTCCTCCTGCATGTGCTGGAAGGAGTGGCCCATGGGGCGAGTGCGCTAACAGAGAAAGCACTGGGACCCCTCCCCAGACATCCCAGCTTGGAGCACGGTCACTCTCTTCCCCTTTGTCTTCTCCATCTCTGCCATTCCTTGAGGCAGGATTCTTTCCCCATATTAAGATTAAACGCTCAGCAGTATAACAACCGTGAGTCAGGAAATAAGGTGAAGGCACGGGAGATACAGAATGGTGTCCACAAGCAATACACTCTAGAAGGGGGATTTGAGGCTCACCCTACTGGCATCCAGGTCAGTGGTGTCTTGCACGGTCTGGGGCTCATATCCACTGTGTTGCTCTTGGATCACAGGGTCAAGCAGTTCAGCAAATACCTGAAGGGGAGTTAATGGGAAGAGGTGGTTACAGAGAGGAAATTCCTCCCTGGACTTCAAGTATGGATTCATTTCACTGCCAGAAAACTTGCAAGGCAAGGCCCATGGTCTTGAAGGGAAGTGAGGGATCTTTAGAGAAAAAGTGCTGGGATTACTGGGAAGATGAAGTTTTTTTGACAGATTGGTTGAAATGAGATAGGAATTGTTTAGTCTTCTACATCACAACAGAAATTATAAAGAGCTCCCAGAGTCTAAAATTCTTGAGAAGGTGTACAGGAGTCTGGAGTAACCAGTTTCAGCATGAAAATAAAGAGCATAGTTCTTAGAGGTGCACACAAACAAAACCTCTTCTGGCTAAAGACTGCAAATAAGTAGCTAAACATCTGACCTCCTGGTGACATGTTGAGAAATTCTCTAGGATATTTAAGCAGGGCGCAGCGATGCACTCCTATAACCCCAGCTACACAGGAAGTTGAGGTAGGAAGATTACATGTTTGAGGCCAGCCTGAAAGATTTTTCAAGACCCTGTCTGAAAGAATTAATGAGTATCTACTACAGTATACGTGGAAACTCTAGGTGCTGGGGACAGAGTTGTAAATAAACCAAATGAGGTTTCTGTTCTCATGGAGCTTACAATATAGCACATTTCCAAATAAATTAACAATTAAAAAAATCAGTAGTAAGCGCTACGCAGAGAATTAAGAGGACGATAAGAAAAATAACTGGGGGGCTACCTTAAACCTACTGACCTGAGAAAATGTCGCTGAAGAAAATTGCAGCCATGATCTGAATAACACAGAGAAGCCCGCCATGCAAACAGGGGGAAACGATCACTTCAGGCTGTGGCGAGAGCCAGGGGAAAGGGCCAAAGGTCAAACAGTCCTGAGGCAGCATAAGAGTCAGGGAGGAGCCATGTTGGTAGTGCTTTATGACAGAATAAAATACTGTATCTCCCTCTTAGCTTTCCATTATGAAAAGGTAGAATATACCTGATTTTTTGGTAAATGCAAGATGAAACTGTCCTTGATCATTCAAGAATATTATTTTCCTAATCACCTGTGACCCCTTATAGGGCCCAGGCCCCACTTAACTTTCCAATTTTACTGCTCACCCTTGTGCATCCTATTCTGGCCACATGGCCTGTCTGTCCCTCCAACACACCGAGCTCAGTTACACATGACAGCCTTTTCCCCTCTGTCTGAAAGGCTCTAGCCAAGATCTCCCAGCTGAGTTCTTCCTATCAGGGTTCAGCTCAAAGGTTTTTTTCCCTGACCACCCTGATTATGTGGTTCTCCCATCACAAATCAGTACCAATTTTATTTTTCTCTCCTAATACTCTCATCACTAACTCAGTTTATGAGCTGGCATGGTGGTGCATGCCTATAATCCCAGCACTTGGGAGGCTGAAGCACGAGGACCATTGTGAGTTCGAGGCCAGTCTGGGCTACAAAGTGAGTTTGAGGCCAGACTGAAATGCATAGTGAGACCCTGTCTCAAAAAGACCAAAACAATAAAATAAAATTAAAAACTAACTCAATTTATGTTATCTATACATGCTTTTGACTTTTTTTTTTTTTTGGTTTTTTGCCGGTACCAGGAATCAAACTCATGACCTTGCGCTTGCCAGGCAGGCGCTGTGCTGCTGAGCTAAATCCCCAGCCCCTGCTTTTGACTTTTTAAATTGTGGTAAAATATATAACATAAAACTATGGTGACACATGCCTGTAATACCAGCACTCTTGGGAGTCTGAGGCAAGCAAATCATTAAACTCAAGCCCAACCTGGGCAATTGAGTGACTCAGTGAGAACTTGTCTCAAAATAAAAAATAAAAGCACTGGGAATGTGGCTCAGTGCAAACGCCCTGAGTTAAATCTCTAGTGGAAAAAATATACATATATCTATACCCATATATGTCTGTCTACCCTAAAGTTCACCATCTCGACTGTTAAGTACATTTATAGTTATATAATCAATTCCCATACTATGTTCACCTTGCAAAGGTGAAATTCTACCGCTAAACTTCCCATCCCTCTTCCAGTCTGACAACCCACCTTCTGCTTTCTAACCTCTGAACATAGCTTTTGTTACTTCATACAATGGAATCATACGTATTTGCCTTTTATAATTGATCTTCTTTTCACTGTGTCAGAATTTCCTTCTCTTTAAACCTGAACTACACTGCACTGCATGTATATACCACATTTTGTTTAATCATCCATTGTCAGACACTCAAATAACTTTTTTAGCCATTGTCAGTAATGCTGCTATCAGTGAGAACGAAGAACTCTGTAAGACCTGCTTTTGATTCTTCTGAGTATGTTTCCGTAAGTGGAATTGTTGGGTTGTATGGTAAGTATATCTTTATTTTTTTTTTTTTTTTTTTTTTTCCAGACAAAATCTTCATCCCACGTTAATTACCTATTTAATCAGTCAATGATAAAAGAAAATCTTCCTGCCTCAGCCTCATGAGTATCAAGGATTATTTTGTTTGCTGTTTTTTTTTTTTTTTTTTTTTTTTTTTTTTTTGGTTTTTCTCGGGATCCAGCATACTGTTTTCAATGGCAGCTGTACCATTTTACATTACATCTACAGTGCACATGTGTTTTTGTTGTGCTGTGGATGGAACCCACGGCCTCAAGCATGCTAAGCAAATGCTCTACTACTGAGCTTTACCCTGAACCCTTTAAAATAATTTTTTAAAAAGCGATCTTAATGGATGTGAGATGGTTGCTCATACCCCACTCCGGTTTATTTGTACCTGGAGGTGAAAAATTAAGTACTGTAATTAGCATGGGTCTACTCAATTCTCCCAAGCCTTAAGATAATCATTATTGGGGCTGTGGGTTTAGCTCAGCGGCACAGCGCCTGCCTGCTAAGTGCAAGGTCTTGAGTTCGATTCCCGGTACCGAAAAAAAAAAAAAAAAAAAAAAAAAAAAATCATTATTGCTCCGGTAATGATCCGGAAGTTGTCACCACCACGACTACGCGGGGTGACAGTGCTAGAAATCCTATTTCCCCCCTTCATTCCGGGCAGATGAGTTAGTTCCCCCTTAGGGAACTCATGCTGAGGTCTGGGCGTTCGCTCTGGGTTGCAGAACTTCTCCAACATCGTTCCTTTCTCATACGGGGGGTCGTTTTCGCCGCACTCCTAACTGAAAATGACGATTTGGTCAGATTCTGACGGAATCATTCGTCAGCTTCGCTAGGAACTGCACGCCACGGGTGGGAGAAACAGCCCCCCGCCTGAGGAAAAGCACTTACACCGTTCTACAGCCTCTGGGTGACCTTGCGGAGAAACGCAAGGCTGGGGCTGCGGTGAGGAAGCCCTCGCGTCCTCTCTGCAGGCTGGAGGGCCTTTACGCCGAGTCACAGATAATAGGAGACCCCCCACCAGGGACAGAGCACGAGCACACCTGCCAGGCGACCTCGCACGTAGCCCTGAAGGGCCCAAGTCCAGCAGCGGCGGAAGTCCCGCCCCCGCAGAGCGGAAACGTCAGTGGGCGGGACCAGTGTGTACCCGCTGATTGGCTGTGCCAGGCGGGCGGGAAAACGGGTAACCGACGAGTGGTTCTGGCCACTCCCTACTGGACAGGAGGGCACGGGGTCGACGCAGAGGCGGAGACGCTGAGGAGGGCTGGGTGGGAGGCGAGCGTGCTGAGGTGAGGCCCAGACCCGAAAGACGGAGAGGAGGAGCTGGCCCCCAGGCAGTGTCGCAGTGCACACGCGAGGAACCGGGCTGTCCTCAGAGTGTCCGCTCCCCTGGAGCGGCCTTGTCTTCTCCGGGCGGCCGCGCGGGGCCGGGCGACCTGGGTCCGGCTCTGTGGCTCCAGCCCTCTGACGCTTGCTTTTCTAACCGATTTTTTAAAATAACTTTCTAGAAGGCGGCAGGACACTTGGTCGGCGAGGCAATATCTCCTGAGTCTTTCTTTTTTACTTTTCTGATACTGGGGTTTGAAGAGGACCTTCACATGACCTACCTCGCCCGCCTTTTGAATTTTTGTTTGCTTTTTGAGACAAGGACTCAGTCCTTAAATTGACCAGGCTGGGCTTGCATTTGGGATCGTCCTGCCTCAGCCTCCCAGGGTGCTGGGATTACAAGCCCGTTTTCACCACCACACCCAACCTTCTCCTACTTTTATCTTCTTTTGTTAAAAACACATGCTCCCGGGGACACACACACACACACACACACACACACACACACACACCCATCTAATCCCGGTGCAACTCTAAGGAGGAAAGTCCTCTGGCCCTCGATTTTTCTGTGTTTTCACAGACATGGACACGTGTACCCATGCTGGGCACATGTACCTGCCCAGAGCTGATGCCATTCGTTCTCGTCGCATTGACCTGGAGCATTTTCAAGTCTTCGACCAGTCTGTGCCACTGTACACCACCCGGGAGATGCTTGGTTAGCAGCCTGTTTTCTCACTGCATTCAATTTAAGACTCCGGTCCACATCCACCAAAAACCAGGAATCAGAGAGACACGTTTAAGCGTGGAAAATTCAGGGAAGACTGGTTTGGTGGCTGGTTTGGAGGTTACACCAAACTTGATAAATCATTTCAAGGGTTTTAGAAATAAAACCTTTTTTTCCTCGGTGCTGGAGATTAAACACAAGGCCTTCACCCGGAGCCGCACCCCCAGCCCTTTACTTTATTATTTATTTTATTCTGAGGCAGGGTCTCATTAAGTTGCTAAGTTGACAGGCTGAGTTTGAACTTAGGATCCTCTTACTTCAGGCTCCCAAAGTGCTGGGGTTGCAGCTGGCCACCATGCCTGGCTTATAAATAAAAGTCTCTGAATCCAGGAAATACAGCCCTTGTCTATCCTTTTTAGGATACTACCTTTGATTAACTGGGAAAAGTCTCTGCCGAACATACTTAAAACTTGGAAATTTGAGCCTGCTGCTTTTGTTGTGGGTGTGGTCAGTGTTGGTCATAAGCAGTACATGAGCTCTTACCCACACTAACACATTTATCCACTAACACACACACACACACACACACACACATCTCCCCTGTTGTCCATGCTGGCCTTCAACCCCTGTGCTCAAGCAGTCACCCTGCCTCAGCCTCTCAAGTAGGTGGAACGATAGGCAGGTACTATCCTTTTTTAAATTTTTATTCTAGATCCTTACCATCATAAGTCTCTTAGGTGGAGAGATCAACACCAGCAAGTGTGCTTCTCCACCAAGCCCCGGCATGTAGGACGGGTTTCTCACACCCAGCGATTGCTGTCTAGGTTTTATGTCCGCCACAGCCGTTGGCCGCCTCTTTCCCTGTGGGCTGAATGGGTTATTGAGCGTATCCTTTCCTGTCAGTCATTCTTAGGCATGTCTGGTCACCATCTGCCTAATGGTTTCTTTTCCCCTACACTCCTATTTCCTTTATATTCTCATGGCTTATATTCTTTCTTCCTTTTCTTCTCTTTCTTTCTATGGTGTTGGGGATGGAACTGAAGTCCTCCCACTTTGGCTTATATTCTTGCCCATATTATTTCAGCTGTGTAGATCAGGAAGAACTCTGCTCAGTATGTTTCCTTAACAGAAACCAGATCGTTGGTTCAAGAACTTCATCAATTTCCTCATCATTTTGAATGCAATTGTGCGGATGGTTACAACAGGTGAGAACTGAATGGAAGAAGAAATGGAGTTATTTTTCTTCTCACTTGATTACATTCATTTTTAAATATCATTTGAATTGTAATAATTGTGGGATAAATATATTGAGCCCCCTGAAATAGAAAATGTGCAACTGGTGGGTGTGGTGGTGCACATTTGTAACCCCAGCCCTCCAGAGGCTGAGAGCAGGAAAATTACTGCAAATTCAAAGCCACTCTGGGAGTTCAAGGCCATGCTGAACTACAAAGCAAGATCCTGCCTCACAAAACAAAACAAAACAAAAAATTTGTGCAACTGCTAAGATCTAGAAACATTTGGAGGGCTTTCAGGAGTACTGTGCAGGAGACACAGGGTAGTCTGGACACTTAGGGAAGGTGTCAGTTATAACAAACAACTCTAAAGGAATTGCAGATGAAAAGATCAGTTGTATTTCCCAGGGCCTTGCCCATAGTAGGCAAGTGCTCTACCACTGAGTCACCTCTTCAGCCCTGAACCTTCTCTGTTAGATACGGGTATTGATCCATGAGTGATCTGACATTTACATTTCATAAGTATATTTAGGAAGATGATTTAAGTATGAATTTTAGAAGCTTACAAATAAAGTTAGGGACAATGGAGATAATAATCAACCCAACAAAATTTCTAAAAGGGGAATGACTGAGACCTATAATGAATTATGGCTGGGGATTCAGCTCAGTGTGCAGTGCTTGCCTGGCAAGCGCAAGATCTTGAGTTTGATTCCTGGTACCAAAACAACAACAACAAAAAAAGTTATATAGAATATGTTAAAAACAGATGGCCATCAATAGAATTAGTGAGAGCATTTGATTGTTATTTCAAACAAGCTACCCAGAAATGATGAAAACAGGGTAGAAGTGCTCACTTGTTTCCTTCTACCTTTTTTTATGGGAGTCTCCCACTTGAAAATACTCCATTAATGTGCTCAGGTCAAAGTTTAAATACATAACAATACCTGATTTCCCTGACCTACTTCTGCATGTACTGTATACTTTATATACTTTGAGGTATCTTTATTTCTTCCCCATAAGGATAGATTTTGAACTAAGGCACTCACAAGTCCCTATTTTGTTCTTTTTTTATTTTATTTTTAGGTTTTTTTTCCTGAGACAGGGTCTTGTTATGTATTCCAGGCTGGGCTTGAACTTACTATGCAGCTGGCCTCAAACTCACAGTGATCCTCCTGTCTCAGCCTCCCACATGCTAGGATTACAGGCATGCATCACCAGGCCTGGCAAATCCATATTTCTAATATGATTGCTGATAAATTTTCATGGCATAAAGGCAAGAAGGATTTTGCCAAGGGCACTGTGATTAACAGATTTCTTTAAACAAACTATTTCAAATAATAAAGGTAAATATCAAGGTTTTTTTTAGGCTTAAATTTTTTTTTTCTAGGTCACAGTGAATGTTGTTATAGGTAGGGAAAAAAATTAGCTAGATCAAATCTCCCCTGTCTTTTTTGTTGTGTAATTTTGTTTCCCACTAATATACATATAATATTGAAGACCTTCCTTACCTATGTTAATCATTTTACTGTTTTTATGTGATATAAAAAAGCAAAGTGAGGTAAAAATATTTTGGACAAGTATGGTATTAAACATTGTATTTTTAATGCTGTTATATAATGTTAATAATTATATATAAGGAAATTTTTACTTTTGCTATTTCACAAGTGATTCACCCCACTCATAAAAGAAAAATATATGAGGCTGGCCATGGTGTACACACCTGTAATCTCAGTACTCAGGAGGTTGAGGCAAGAGGATTGCACGTTCAAGGCCAGCCTGGACTGAATGATAAACTTAGGCTCTGTGTTGAGACAGAGTTTTGCCAAGCTGCCTAAACTGGGCTCAAACTTATGATGCTCTTGCCTCAGCCTTCCAGGCTGGGGGTATTACAGGTGTGTGCCACTGTGCCAGCTGTGCGGGTATATTCTTAACAGTTTGAGTTGTCATTATGGAAGGTAATTCTGTTTATTCCACAAAAGTACCTGATGATACTGTTGTTCAGATTCAGTATGGCATTTCTTATGTCCTCAGGACTTTACCAGTTTTATTTTTATATCATGTAACGTGACCACACCAATATTTTGTTGTAGTTCTACTTGTATAAAACTAAATGCTTGTTTCCCCCAGTGGAACTGTAAGCACTGCTTGAACTCTTGGATTGCAAAGGGTGGCTGTCCAACACAACTACTGTCTTTCATGAAGATTACAGTGAAATACTCAGTGTTGGACTGCCCTTGCAACCCATGTGAATTGATCTGACAGTCTGTGAGGTGACTGCTGCTCTAGAATAAGGAGTAGAGAGGAGGACACCCCATGTTGAAACTCTACCTTGTCAGACAGAATTATGTCTATTTGTCTGACCTGCTTGATCTAACCGCTCTCTTCTCTCGCCCACAAGAGAAGAAAGTTGCAGTGTAGATCTTCCCCATGAGCTCACTGTGCTGGCTAAGATTCCTGGGTGGACCACACCGGGCCCTGGGCTCTGTTTTTTTAATAAGACTCCTTATCCTTCCTAAGACAGGATGAAAAAGTTTTAAAAGTTACATTTTCATCTCTAGATAGTTCATGTTTTCTTTGGTTGATGCAGAATGAAAACAATTACTTTTGCACATTCTGTGTTGCTTAGGCAATTTTTGCTGTTTGTTCCTCTGAATTTGGAGTGGGGGGTGGTCACTGAGTTTCTAAAAACCATCCCTTTTCCCCAAAGAATAAAAGAGCTGCTGATTCTTTAATTTGGACTTCCATATTCAAACCATCAGATTTCTCTAAGACCCTTACCATTCGTGTGC